GAAATCTCCTTTCATAAATATTAGCCCTATGTCATTTGACAGTCTCTCAGTGTGAATATTTATATTGAAACAGGCTATGACAAGATTTAGTAAGGACCCTAATTGAATTGCACGACAGAGCATTTGGAACAATGATTAGCTCTGAAACCACATTCGAAAAAAAAAAGTATGCTTACAAAAGAGAACCTTCTGACTCACAAAGTCATAGTGATGAAGCTGGGCATTACTTCCTAGTGCTTACAGAAATAATTTTAAGCATACAAAAGCTTACAAGTTAAAGGTTCACAATTTCTCAGATACACTCCAAGTTAACGAATGTTTTCATGATAGAGATAGTAGAAGACACTGGAACCACAACAATTTGACCATATGCATGTCAAGTCCCGCCGATGCAGCTCCAATGGATGTTTGTGCCTTTGCTTTTTTACTTAAACGTAATCTTGGTAGCCAATGTCTACGTACAGTTTGTCAATATGTGAGGTCTAAGATTAAACTTCCTTCGCTTAATCTTAATCGCGATCATCAGATTGAGGAAGTGATGAAGGAGGAAGTAGCCACACGAGCAACACGGAACTTTCTTATAAAGCGTGATAAACTTTCCTATAGACGTTACACGGACAATGCATTTATATTTTCAATTTTAGCAAGTAAATAGGCTTCTTAATTACTTGAATAGTGAAATTATGTATAACCATCATTTTCCAGTAAAACAAATGATCATTGTTAAATATTTTGGTATATAATCACCAACGTTTGCTAGAATGTACATGACATTTTTGTAGGTTTATTACTGTTGTTTTTCAGAGTTGTTCGGTTAAAACTTTTATTGCTAGGTCTATGGATTTACTTGTAACTATGTTTTATTTCGTTGTGCAATAATGAGGATGAATAGAGTTCTGAAACTGAACGAATTCTATGTAGTTTTTGGTTGAGTTTATGTTAGAAAGAAGTTTCTAACTCTCAGACTTTCGAATTTACTATCCTAAAGGAACCAATAATTGCAGTCTTACCTTACGCACGGGTTATATTCAGTCTATAAAGCAGAATATATGTCCAGAGATACAGACATTCAATTGTTACTGAACTTTTAAAAGTTATTGCTGAGGAAAAAAGGGTTTTTGACATCAAATACAGGTGGCTACTTACTAGAATCAATGGTGAAATTATCGTAAAAAGGAAAAGTACATATAATGACATGGCTCCACTTAAGTGCCACTGCTGCACCTCTTAAAACAGTTTTTATATCTACTCCATCTGCGGTCCATGCTCTGGCTGTCTTGTTCTTTTTAACTTGGTCATTAACTGACATTTGTCTTTAGTTATCCAAGAGTGGACTAGACGTGAGTCTCAGGGTAACTTGTAAAGAGTCCAACTAGTTTCACGATCAATAGCTCGAAGGTTCTTTCTATCGATAAAATTGTACTATTTAAAGTCACAATAAGACTTAACTAAATGAGTACAATCACAAATTAGGGCTCAGGACTGGCTTTCAAAAAATATATAGACGAATACTCGCATAATTCTACCACTGATTTGAATAAAATAATAAACGTGAGCGCACATACATACATACACACACACACAAAAGATAGAAAGAGAGTAAGCTTACCGTCTGTTGAATAAGAGTAATTTTGTATAAGAAACTTTCAACTTTACTACTGTGAGGGTGTTTGAGGCTGAAGCGCTATTGATGTAATTAAGTATCCCAGAAAGTATTAGGACTATTAGCCTAAAACTGTCCTCACATCTGAAAATTCTGTTTCCGACTTCTTTTTAAAGAGTGGTCTTTTCCTGGTTGTCTGTATAACTTACTTTCTTTTTGTAAGAGAAGCATTATCGAATAAAGGTGTGGCCTTTTCCTGGCTTTCTGTGTAATTTAGCTAACTTTTTGTAAGGAAAATGTATAAATACAAACTAAATACTGTACAAGAACGTGTTGTAATCGCATTAGTAAAAATCACATACACTAACGCATAACTTAAGCCCACAATCCGCGGATTTAAGATTTTAAGATTAAACAATATCTAAGGAGGTAAAATACTTTAAACCTTTAAATTCACACTTATGTCGTGAACATTTATTAAAGGTCCTGATGTGAATTTTTATGAAACACTTTGTTACATTGGTTAGTATTTTGTGCGTGTTTGTGTAAGATGTACAACAGTTGAAATGACGCTACTGCTTTTTTGCGTGTGCAAGTAAAACATACAACTTCTTATGTTAGTAAGAAAACATCTTAATCAATGCAGCATTCTTGTAATTAACAATAAGTGGACTGTTTTACGTTATCTGAAGCAAATGATTAAAAACTTATTATGTTTTCCTTTACATTATTTAAAGCTAAGATTTAGTAAAATTAATAGAAAATACGTATTACACCAATTAAACAAATATATTGGTAGACCTCAAAATCTATCTGTTTATGTATATCAAAATGTTTCTCTCTTTTTATACACCTCTTGCCCCATATATATCTATATAAATTATTTAGCGCCTACAAAATAGAAAGGCATAGATGGTGTTACATTAAAATATTCTAAGAAAATAATCTTTTTATAGGGAATTAAAACCTATGTAATAAGTTATAACCACTTTGAGGTTTACATTTTATGAGTACAAATAGGACTGTTGTCTAATTATACTTATATTATAGAAAAAACATTTCATCACGTTCACCATGATATGTTTAAAATAGTTTTTATTCAAATACATATAAAATTTGTGAAAATAAAACTTTTAACTTACTTCAATAATGACTTTTAGTCTTTTAATGAAAAATATTTCTGTCTGAATAAGCTCCCAGATGGCGTTCTGTTGCGCTTTCATTCGTTCGCTTAAAGCCTAGAAAACAGTGTATGGAAAATACTTATTAACATATTTGTGTATAACTACCTAACCTCGCCGAGAAACTTACATACTCATTACACAGAATCTCAGTAATAAGTGATAGAAAAAACTTAAAAAGGATTTCAAAAACACCAGTTAAACAGTAAAAATATTTCAAAACCAGTTACATGGTAAAATAATTTCAAAAACACCAGTTACATGATAAAAAGATTTCAAAAACACCAGTTAAACATGGTAAAAAGATTTCCAAAACACCAGTTAAATGGTAAAAAGGATTTCAAAAACACCAATTACACAGTAAAAATAAGTGGTTGAAGAATAATAGCTGGAGCAGAACAGGACATACTATTTGATAATGGAAACTACAAAAGCTAATATTATAGTACAAATATATTTTTATACGACACAAACAAATATTTACATTTAGTGCGCGTAAAAAATGATCAAAATAAATATAGCTAAATTGGATAAAGCAAACTGAACTCGCTCTTACATTGAACTTGAAACAGTGGCTTTTTACTGGATATAACATTAGTTACCTTAATTTCTCACGATTAGCTTTCTAACAATGACATTAATTTTGGACTGCTAGCAGTTTCTTTTTTCTTGAACCGTTATTGACCAACATTCTTGCTAGACTAATGTGGGAGTAATAACATCAAGTGAACTTTTTACATTGTATTAGTCTACAGGTTTTGACCTTGATCTTATTGCCCAGCAGTTACCTCTTTCTTTGATCTGGATGGAATTTATTTTTCCCTTTTGGAATGAAACCATGGTCAGTATTTTACAAAGTCTGAAAGATATCTTCAATACCTCAAATGACTATATAAACACAAAATAAAAAAGGAGGTATTTTTTCGACAATGCCAAATTTATGTATAAACAAGTTTTCCAGTGTCAGGTTCTTTTATAAATACACAATAAAAAACAAAGTAAAGGGAAATATATTTTAATATTTCATTACTTATCTTAAGCTCTAAACTGGCAAATGTTAATACCACGAGACTAAAACAGGGGTTATATAGTGTGGTCCATTTCATATATGTGCCCATGGTAGTAAAAAAAAAGAAAAAAGAGTTAAACAGAAAACAAGAATCGCAACACAAAATTATTAAACTTCTCAATATTTCCACTTACCTCCCAGTTTTCCACGATATCTTTCCAACTTGGTTCGAGTCTGTATGTGTTCTCTTGTGAAAGTTCAAAGGTTGGCAGTCCTGGTTGTTGTGGGATGCCGTTCACTGTGTAGTTATTCAACAGTTCCATAAGTAGTTCTGTTTTCTCCTTTTCCTAAAACGCGATCCCGCATAACGTTCATTACAACCATTTTTCATATTTTCTAACTTTAATGGGTGACCATAAACAATCCCAAGACGTGATGGAAAATAATTCAGTTTGAGATAAAAATATAAAACGATATAACGAAAACGTTGTTGGTTTTTCAGCTTCGAAATGTCGTATCAACGCGTAATTTAAGTACGAGTTGCAGTTTTTACATTGGATACATTGATTTTAAAAATTGTTGCATAATATTTTGTTATAGTTTAATCTGCCCTTTCTAAAATACTAAAGCTGTGTTATTTACAAAACTCCATACATCTTTATGTTTTGTTAATAACATATAAAGGCATTTTGGAGATTAATTATTTTTGAAAGGTAATCAAAAACCTTACCTCATTTTTATTATCAAAATGTACTACATTAATTTGTTGATATGTTTGTTATTTCTACATTGTCAACATTTAAATGTCATTAATGACAGGTTCTACATTCATTTGTTGATATGTTTGTTATTTCTACACTGTCAACATTTAAATGTCATTAATGACAGGTTCTACATTCATTTGTTGATATGTTTGTTATTTTTACATTGTCAACATTTAAATGTCATTAATGACAGGTTCTACATTCATTTGTTGATATGTTTGTTATTTTTACACTGTCAACATTTAAATGTCATTAATGACAGGTTCTACATTCATTTGTTGATATGTTTTGTTATTTGTACACTGTCAACATTCAAATGTCATTACTGACAGGTTCTACATTCATTTATTGATATGTTTTGTTATTTGTACACTGTCAACACTTAAATGTCATTACTGACAGGTTCTACATTCATTTGTTTGTATATTTTGTTATTTTTACACTGTCAACATTTAAATATCATTACTGACACGTTCTACATTCATTTGTTAATATGTTTTGTTATTTGTACACTGTCAACATTTAAGTATCATTACTGATAAGTCCTACATATTCTACATTGTAACATATGATATGTTTTGTCACTTGTACTCTGCCAACATCATTACTGACATATTTTACAAGGTACGTGTTATTATTCACAACTTGTCAACATCTTTCTAGCTTCAGTTATTGCAATTTATTGAAACTAATACTGTGATATTTTTATTATAATACATTTCATTGTTTATAGAAGTTCATCTTTTGTTTCTATCAGCAGTATTTCTGAAACAGAAACTTTGGCTAAATTGAAAGTTCACGAAATTATTCTTTTTTTACTTTTATCTCATTTCTTACAGCTATAATATTTACTATTTAGCATTTTCTCCACATCTCAAACAAAACAAAATATAAAAAATGGAAAATGCACATTAGCGAATGATACTTTCTTCATATTCAAGAGTGGACAGCGAATGTTTAAATTATAAATACTATCGTTAATTACTTAAATTATTGTTTCTTAAATGGTCGAAAATATTCGTTGCAATTGAAATATTTAACATCTGTTTTGTATTTTAATGCTAATCTAGAAAAAAAATGCACATTAATCATTTTGAAAAGTTTAAAATGTAATATTTTTTTCTGTTTTATGGCTGACTTATTCTAATCATGTGGAAGTGAAAATCTTGAACGTGATTGCTTTTAATAGATCGTCCCTCTTGAGAGGCATTCAATACTTGGCTTTGCGCGAGATGTGGGAGTATTATTACGTTATACCCTTTTGTATGGCGTGAGCGTTACCAGCACGTGATTATATGAGAGTGCGTCAGTGAAAGCTCTAAACACAAACATTGTCTACTGCTGCTTCTTTGTTCTGAGTCACGTGACTGAGAAAAGGGTGATGGTGAAACTAGAGTATGATTTATCACACAAAATCTTACTATAGAGGAGAACTCGGATAACGTGAATTTACATTTTTCATCACTCTTTGTATAGGTGTACTAATATAATAAGGAACACAAGACATTTTGCAAGTTTCATTAAGATTGTAAAAACTCAACGTAAAAGCAGAATTAACCTCGTTGGTTTTACAAACGTTATATTAATTTAGGCCAGTAAAACATAATCTGGCATAGTAACAAGCTTGGTCGTATAGTATAACTTTTTTTTCTAAATACAGTCATTCGGTTCTTGGTCAAGTCTTATTGTGCTTATGAAGTCCTTATTCAAACATCAAATTAACGATTGATACGAGTAGCCTGACAGAAACTGTATGGTTGTATTCGCATCTGATCAAACATAAAACGTCCACTGAAGTTCATCTCCTTAACAAAAAACACATGGCTCTTACTGTTTCTCCTTCTAACTTTATAACAATCTGATACACTATAAATCTCTTGCAAGATGATACATTTCTGATATAAGCTGTTGTTGATGTACCTTAATAACAAACTCACCCATGGAGTTTTTAGAGTTTAAAACTCTAGTTTCGAGAATGTTTTGCCAGATTAGCCAATCGTATCTTACAGAATTGTACATTTCCTATTTTTTGTTCTAATAAATAGAACAAAAATTATTAACTGACTGCAAACCTATCCCCTTGTGACTCCAATGAAAAAAAATACTACGCAAAAGAAACTTTTACAGGGATAACATAATTTGCAAATACGTGAGAATAACTACTAAAGCAAATATTTTAAAATTTAATATCCAGATAGGGTAGAGTTGTACTGTTGTATGATTATGCGGGTTCGGAACTGATTAGACATCAAAGTCAATTTTACTGATTAAGTTTACAGATATTTAATGTACTTATCGGTTTAAACATAAATGTATATGTAAAGAAACAGTATTCAATCTCTAGCAATAGACTTTAACTTGTATATTGCAACAAAAAAAGAATGAAAAGGGACCGGTTACATTATTTTACCGTCACTCATCAGCTCTAAGTGTAAACAAATTGAAGGAGTTCCTATGGTTTTTACACTTAGAAGGTATAGTCACACACGCATGCATCTGTATTTTTAATTAATTGCAATTCTGAAATAGGTTTTGTATTTCCCCAAACGTACAGGTCTTCATGTTTTTCATTTTTAATCTGATAAGTTTTAAAGCTTGCAACGTAAATAATTTTTTTATCTTAAGGATATTACTATAATTTCCCTTTAGAAACCCGTGCAATGAAAAATAAACAAATCTTCCATTCTCTACTCAACTCATAACACAACAAAGAATCACCTGGTTCAATTGGTACTAATTCACATAACGCAAAAAGGACTTACAGTTTTTGAAACATTGGAGAATATTCCGGGTTTTCTGCTGAGAGTAGAGCGACCTCTGGAGGACTTGAGGGTAGTGTCCAGAGATACTGTTGGTCCAGGGAGAATGGGGTCACTCAAGTCCTCAGAAGATGCTAATAGACCAGTCTTCCGTCCTCCGTGTTGAATCTACAAAGCCAAAATAATCTAATTCAACTATTCACTTACCTATATGCCTGTATTCAAAATCCCTTCTTTTTGTCAATATTTGTATTAGCGTTTCTGTGCAGTTTTATTAGTATTTCATCGTTTGCTTATCTGTTTCCCCCTTCACCTATCATCTATTTACTTTTTATTGACCCCTCTTTCAATTTCTGTCGGTGTTCTTTCATCTAGATATAACTGTGTATAACTAGTTATCTGTTGAGTTACTTTTTGCTATGTCTTTCGAATACTACACACAACAAAAGTCAGTTTGATGAATTTTTTTTATTAAACTGAAACACGGTTTGAAAACTGATAATATCTACAGAGACGACTTATAAAGCTAGGGAATCAGATCGTGTCTTGCCAACGTGTACGGCTACTACCGTGTTTTGTATGGAGTTTTGGATTTAGGTATGAGTTTTATTCCCTCAATGCGTGGAACCTAATACGAATTCAGCCATGTTGAGGGACAATTCAGATTCCAGGTATCACAAGGAGTTCAAATCTCTATTAAAAAAAAAAAGAAAAGAAAAAAATAGCACCGAAAAATTTTGTTTGAGAATTAATCCACCAAACGTTTCCTTGACTCGTAGACTGGGTGTTAAAGTATTCGTTTAATGTTTTTACATTTTAAAGGAAATATCTTTTTTGATGAATATCCAATAAAATCTTGAAAGCGTTCGTTCGATGGTTAAAGCTACCGCGCATCTTTTTCAGTAATGCCGTCCGTTACTTTCCTTCTCAATATTTCGTTATTGTGCCATTTGAAATAAAAATTGCAAGAAATACATTGATTTCATTAATAGCTTTCATATAGAAATAGAATAAAATTGAAGTTGTTGATAACGATAGTCGACAGTGAGGAAATTATTATTATTTCTGATATCTTTTATCGAGAAACATGGTACAATGAAATCATCTCAGACTTTTATAGCGTTCTTTTAGACGCAGAAATCATTCTTAATTTATAATATTAAAAAAAACCAAAAAAAAACAGGGAACTATTGCAAAGCAGAGAGTTTAATTAAAGAGGAACAAAGTAGCCACATGCTACAATCGAATATACGTTATTACAATACTTCAGTTACTGCATACCAATAAAATAAGCTGCATCTGTCTTATAACATTCAGTTTTAATTCACAGGTGAAACTGTAGAGCTGGACGGTTACTGTTAAGAAATGATTTATGTATGATGAGAGAGATAACAAACAACAAGTTAATATCTTCTTCTTCTCTGCAGACTTAAAAGTAAAATGTTGATCAGTAGCAATGACGGTTATTACATTCTACAACATACCTAGACCTAGGTTATTACATTCTACAACATACCTAGACCTAAGACCTATGTTATTACATTCTACAACATACCTAGACCTATGTTATTACATTCTACAACATACCTAGACCTAGGTTATTACATTATGTATGTTGTAGAATATCTTTGTTTATGCACAATTTGAGTTTTTTTTTGTTTGCTTCGCAGTACTTTAATTTCGGAAAGAATTTGGAGCTTCACAACAGGCACGTATTAAGAAACCATAAAAGAATGAAATCGGAAGTCTAACAAAATAATAGAAGTTAAAAAAGTTTTATTTAATTCAAATATAAAAAAGTTGCATGGGTGTTACTTAAGTTATTATGACCCCTCCCCATCCTCAACCCCAAAAGTGTTTTACTACAAAGTCTGAGGGCTTATGATGCTAATCGCATTTCTATACTCGTAGTGAGCAGAGCTCAGATAGTCCATTGTATAACGTTGCTCTCTTAGCAACAAAAAATACCTGGATTATTGGAAGTTATAAAATATAAAAATAAAACAAACCGGTTAGTAGTTAAAGTAGTTGCTTCAATATTAAAAGGCATATATGCTAAAGAGCTGTATACGTAGTCTTTTTTACAGTGTGGCCTATAAAATAAACAAGAGGGTTAAAGAATTTTGTATACAATTAAAAAGCTTGCTGGTATAAGCAGTAACAGGACCCGGCATGGCCAGGTGGTTAAGGAGCTTGACTCGCAATTTGTGGGTCGCGGGTTCGAATCCCCGTCACACCAAACATGCTCGCCCTTTCAGCCATGGGGGCGTTAAAATGTGACGTTCAATCCCACTATTCGTTGGTAAAAGAGTAGTCCAAGAGTGGCTGCCTTCCCTCTAGTCTTACACTGCTAAATTGGCGCAGATAGACCTCGTGTAACTTTGCGCGAAATCCACAACAACCAAACAAACAAGAAGTAACAGTTGGTGGAGAATGGATTCTTTCAACGTAACCAGTAAATAAATAAAATTCCAGCCATTCTATTTCAAAAGTCATATTACATAACGAAAACTATGAAAATAATAAGTTAAAACCGTCAAAGATTGAGTCTTTTCAAAGTTATATGTAGTTCTGCGAAACAACATAAAAAAAAGCTTACTGCGGAAACCTTTCGTGACTTATCATCTCTGTTTAAGCTTCCGCTGTTACTTCTATTGCTAGAAGCTCCGACGCACGTACTTCCGGTACTATTTTCTCGAGTAATGACAGCTCCCTCGGGGCTATGTTTGGCTGTGATAAAAAACAAACATTTTTTTAATGTACAAAAATGATGAAGGGAAATTACTAAATGAATCGCGTCAAATTTGTAATTTATAAACAGTCTTAATAATATTTCTTAAAGTTAATTTCCTATCAAGTTTCTTATCAGTCATAAGGAGTAAAACATCTTTATTGGATTTTTTATATTTGTTGATTTGAGGACCATATACATAAAGAATTTATGAAGTCATGGAACTGAATTTTTCTCCCATTTAGCGTTTTAATTCCTGTATCTTTGTAGAAAGTTGTGACTGTAGCAAAGATGAAAGGCACAAGAAAGAGTGACCGCAAGAGGAGTTAGGAGCTTCCTAAGGGAGAAAATGACAGCATGATGAATACAAAGATGTAACAGAAATTATATTCTGTTCAGTTGAAGATTATGCTGTCAGAGTCATTAGGGTGTCATTCTAAGTCTATTCTGATTTTTTTTACGTTCAGATACTTCTCAAGGGCGTGTCTCACATTCTATTCATGAAAAATTAATATTTTTTATGACAGCGCTCGGAAGAAAAAGACGCACGATAGAGAGAGATAGTAAAAAGGCACGTGAGAGAAAGCGGGCTACAGCGTGTATGGTAAATATACACAATATATAGAAATAAAAGAGTAAATAGTAGAAAAACGAGAGAAAGGGGATAAATATGTGGTTGGTAAAACGACAAGCAAAACAGAGTTACATGAGAGCATATCAAAAATACAAAAGAGAAAGAAAAAACGAATGCACGAGAGTAGAATACCTAATTACAGTGCACTGTCTGATCTTGCTATTTTCTAAAGTTAAAGTGCTTTTGAGAAAGAGTACACACGAGATAGGGTTTCAAGACAACCCACGAAATCTTTGTTTTGATCTCTCCCGGGTGTTCTTGATAATAGATTGTAACAGAATTTCTCCTTATCTTTGTCAAAAGGAGAGAAATGTGTTTATTTAAAAGAAAATCATTTTAAACTGTTCACAGACTTTCGCCAAAAAATCATTCATGACAATGACAAAAAAATTACCTAAATAACAGATGCTTAAAAATACACAATAATTATATAATTGCACTGAAAGAATGAACGTTGTAAAAAACTTAAGAAAACTGTGAACAATAAATAAACGATTTTATGCGGGTAAAAAAGCGAAACTTAATTTAGTACTATTTCAAATCACGACCTGTGAGGTGATATATACGTAATTAATATGTATTTATTTGTTTTGCGCAAAGCTACACAATGACCTATCTGCATTCTGTCTACCGGGAGGAATTGAACCCTGAAATGTAGCGTAATATTACTACTTACCATCGTGGGACAATCAAAGTGAGATTTCTGTCTGTTACGATATTCGTGTTACAGTAACCTTTCATATCTGTATTATTTCATTAATGACACTATATCAGCAAGTGAAAGTTTTTTTGTTTTTTTTACAGAATGTATTATTATTTTTATTGTCATATTTTAAGATCCCCTTTCATCTTTATGGTCATACGTAGAGCAAATTCATTTAAAACACACGTAAAATACAAATCTTTCCTGGAAACCGTATTTTTCTAAGAGAAGCGAAGACAATTTTATAACGAGTTTGTTTCTCGATCATCTTTTTTTTTTACTACAAAAAAAAAGGTTAATGTTTTTTGGTCTAACTGAAGTTTGGATTGGCTCACTAACAAACAGTTCCATTTACTTGAGATTCTTCTCTTGTTGCCATGGCAATACACACAGAATCACGAAGGTCTATCACACAAGTGTTAAACTCGCAATAAATCTATGTTAGTTTTAGGATTATCTGGAATTCTGCCCATTTTTCTTAGGTAGCGTTAAACTTGAGAAATCACCGTACAGAAAAGAGAACTTAAAATATAAATAAGTAAAAATTAAGTTTTTAACTGATAACCAATTTTAAGAAATTTTATGTTTTTAACCTTTCGAATTGTGTGAAAAATCTAGTATTTGTTGATCGGGGTAATTATGCAGTGCTCACACTTGATGCGTGATTTCACTTCATCTGCCTGCACAGGTGATGTCTGATCTGAGATATAAACGAGGTCTCTAGAACCAATCTATACGAAGATGTAAACCCGTAGAAGGAAATACAGATCCTCTGTACATGAACACAGAAACTAATAAAATGAAAAGCAAAGGCTTACTTATACGAACACAGGATTCTGTAAAAGGAACTGAAAGCTCTAGCATCCACTGCCTGTTGAAAGTTAAAATTTGAATACCAAATTGTAACCACTACAATAGTTCGTTAAAAATGCTGAACTGCGATTAAAAAGGTATTTTTGTAAGTTTTTACTTCCAATATAACTCAAGAAGTACACCTGATGACAGTTATTTGATGAGTTTATTTTATAAATAATTTGTTGCTATTAAGAATTAAGAATAATCTTCTAACATTGAAAAAAAGCTCACTCTGAACAACCAACAATCTCTGCTGAACATTTATTAGTTATATAAGGTATTTCACTGTTGTGAATGTATAAAATTTCTAAGCTTTATCGAACGTCTCTTGGTAGATTATAATTCATGAGCCGGGCGTAGACAAGTAGCTTTGTGCCCGAATATTCTGAAACCAATAAATAAAATTAATACTCTTAAACAATCAGAGCGTGGCTTCACATCATTTCTGACTAATCGTGTTATGTGTTTTCCTATCTTGGTGCTTAAAAGGCAACTGAAGCTTGATTGTATAAACAGTCTTTAATTTAACGTGTTGTCTTAATTAACTTATCCTACGCATTACTTGAGAAAAGCAGTAATATGAGAAACACATCACGGTTAAATGCATATATTTAAAACACTTATTTTCTCTTTAAGATTCATGTTTCAAAAATCTCATTCGTTGTAAAATGTTTGCATGAAGAAGTTTGCCTGGTTAAGTAAAACATAAGTAACCGTGATTTTTTCGGTACACGGATATTTGTCATGTCTACAACAAGTAGTAATCATCGGAATCTTATAATCCTAAACACTGGGTTTCGATATTCGCAGTGGGCAAAGCACAAATAGTCCATTGTGTAGCTTTATGCCTAACAACAAAGAAACAAAAAAAAACAGTATTAATACAAAGCATCTTTAACTTTTATGGGAGACTTTGTTTGAAAGAAAGGAAAACGAAGAAGCAAATTCTTTGGAAAAAGTATTGAACAGAAAAAATAGAAACACAAAGCTTTTCAGAGTTTGAATCAAAAACACTGGCTTGCATTCACTTAACATCGTGCTTTACATGTAGCTTCTAGATGCGTCTCTGCCTAACAAAGACAACTGTAATCGATTTTCACAAAAACTTTTTATGGGGGGGGGGGTACATTAGGCTTAAATTATAGCAACTAGTTTTGAAAAAAACAGATTTGTGGAATCAATACCATTTGGTAGTAAAAGATGCAAGGCTTGCATTGATGTTAGAATGCCCCTTCTATTGTGTCTTTTTTTAGGAACAACATAAAGCAACAACATTGTATTATATTAAGTAACAACTTTCAATACAAACACTATTTAGCATAAATAAACCAGCTCTAAAAGTTCGCCGTTTCAGTCGAAAGCGTTTTTTTTCTTCTTTCTTTTTTACAAACTGTGTCTAAAACATTAATACGTAAGTTTTTACGTAAAGTAATTATATCTATATCTCACTTTAATCTATTTGTGTTCCAGAATAATTAATTATTTTAGATTAAAATTAAAAAAAAGTGTAAAGTATGACAAAGTAAGACTAACCTCCAATTTTGAAAATATTTCAAAACAAGACGTAACAAAATTAACCGCTTACGACAGCAAAAATAATGAAACAAGACATCATAAAAATAACCTCTTAAATAGCAAAGACAGTGAAACATGATATCGTATAATAATTCTAAAATAGAGAAAAATGCCTAGGAATACAATGTATAATCGATTTCTCTTGTCCGAAATATATCACAAAGATAGGGTTGGGCGTGGTCTTATTAAGTGTACCAGGACCATGAATCCCAGGATTAATTGTTTCACGATATGTTGCTGCAAAACAGCGCTTCGAAAAGTGGGGATTTTTGTGAGTTTTAAAAGCGATGGTCAAATCCAACTTTTCATGAGACAAGAGTGACACATGAATCGGTGCTGTAGATTAGAGGATTGTCTGTTTGTTATGAATTTCGTGCAAAGCTACACGAGGTCTATCTATGATAGTCGTCCCTAATTTAGCAGTGAAAGACTATAGGGAAGATACCTAGTCATCACCACCCACCGCCAACTCTTGGGCTACTCTTTTGCCAACGAATAGTGGGATTGACCGTCACATTATAACAGATTAGATGAAGGCATCTAGTTAATTTCTTCAAAACAAAGGAAGGCTATCGCAGGCTCTTGTGTAATTTTGCGCGAATATCCGAAAAAAAAAACAAACGTAAAAGTGATCTCTAATAAGGAAATAACCGTCGCAAAATTTAATTAAAGCTCACTTACAAACAGCAAAAAATAACACATACAATAAAGTAGCTTGGAACGAGATATGGTAATAAGTAAATCATTGTCATAGAAATAAAACGCGAAGAAGAACCTCGGCTAAAAACATGGCAAACAATAAAGGAATGGCAAACTGACTTTGTATCCGGAGATGCTTGCCACCGAATAGAAAGCAATCTCCATCCGAAGGGAGAGGCGTCTTCGAAGCATCTAAGAAGACCGAGACATCTTGAATATCAAGGTCAAGTCCTCGCTTCACCAAAAGATCCTTGATCACCTCCCTGTAAAACCGTGAAATCATAATGTTAAAAATGCCCATAGAACCTATGACTTTCTGCAATTTCGTAAAATCTTGGTGCATATGTTATATTTCTTTCAGAATTTACAATTTTTTGAAAATACTTATTTAAACATAAAAAGCTCCGAAATTAAAAACCTTTTTAAACTTATGCACGTCTTATGCACATGTAAGATAAAACGTCAGGACAGAGACCCCTAGGATTCAGATATAACCGTCTTTAATTTTGAACTTCTCATGAAAAGAAAGGTTGACTATAACACCCTCTGCCGCAGGTCTCGAATAACGGGAGTGATTATCACTATTCTAATGTAACCACAAGTAAAAGAGCGGAAAGTATTCAGCAGAATCACGTCTCGAACTTCGGATCATCCCTCCTCCATCGCAATTCAGTATACTAATTACTAGGCCACTCAATATATAATGTACCAGCAGGTTTAATTGTTGGCAAAGAAAATGCTTATAACAGCACAATATATATATATAAAGAACTGAAATCCTAGAATGTGGACTATATCATTACGCGTTACAGGTGGTTAATACTTGTTCGAAAGATCACGCCTGACTAAAGTGATGTATTTAGCTGCAGCCAATACGAGACTTGTAATGTGTGGAAAACAAAATATCCAGATATCTTACATGTTTACAGAGTTTCTACTGATATTCCGTTCCCGACTTAATTATGTAAAAAACATGCATGTAAATTGTGTTGGTTGATATGCTTTAGTCGTGAAAAGTTTGTTTGAAGTTAAGCACAAAGCTACACAATGGGCTATCTGTGCTCTGCCCACCACGGGTATCGAAACCCGGTTTCTAGCGTTGTAAGTCCGCAGATATACCGCTGTGCTACTGGAGGGGGGATGTTAAACGTACATGACCTAAAACTGTTTAGTTTCTCCTTAAAATCGCCGTATTCATATATTGATTTCAAATCTTCGAATAGTATCCTGAATAGGGTAAAGGCCCTTTGGCGTATTTGGTGCTAAAAATGACGTGTTTGTTTCTGATGGTACAATTTGAATACCTATTTTAAATACAATTACAGTTTTCACCTGTGATACACTACTTTCGTTTTAGATAGGAAAAATGATGCTTTAAAATATTTATAATATATTTTTATACCTGAAAATAAAACTCAAACACCAGTAGTTTGTTGGTTGTTGAATTTCGCGCAAAGCTAGTCGAGAATTATCTGCGCTATCCGTCCCTGATGCCCCCCAGTGGCACAGCGGTATGTCTGCGAACTTACAACGCTAGAAACCGGGTTTCGATACCCGTTGTGGGCAGAGCACAGATAGCCCATTGTGTAGCTTTGTGCTTAACTTTAAAAACAAACAAGCCGTCCCTGATTTTGAAGTGATAGACAAGAGGGTAGTCAACTAGTCAACTCCATCGACCGTCAACTTTTAAGCTACATCTTACCATCGAATAGTTAGATTTACTGCCACATTATAACTCTCCCCCCACAGCTGAAATGGCGAAGATGTTAGGCAATGAGTTTCGACCCCGCGACCTGCAGACTGCGAGTCGAGCGTCATAACTATCAGTCCATGCCAGACAAAAAACAGTAGTAAGTGCTCATAAATATGAAATACATCAACATTTGTTTATCCCTCTGGTAGTGCTATTCCTGCACTGAACGTAGAGTTTGAAGGAAGTATTTTTGGTTAAAAGCAGGAACTAAGGTATCAACTATGTTTTTTTTTATGGTCGTTATGACAGAGAAGGCGTAAGTGATTCATAAACGACTTTATCTGGAAGTTACCATAGTAACGGTATGTATTTTGTTTCCGGAAGACTGGATAGATCATATATATATCTGGACTAGAAAAAAAGAACTAAGCTTTATCGATAAATATGTGATGCACATCTAATACAACCAGTAGGAACAATTGTTTAAGTATTTCCCATTGTTCAAAGAAAGTCAAGTTATTCTGCCATTGCTTACATATAACACGCTTTACTTTTTTTGACACGATCAAGTTGAAATACAAGATACATTTCTTAGTACTATTTACGTTTCATGTTTTAATTATGATTCGGAAAGCATTGATAAGTGCACTTGAAACAAACAAACAACACAACCCTAATACATCTTCAGCCTTTCTCGTCCCCACCACACCTCCCACCATCTGTTTCTTGATGAACCTATTTATTTCTTGGTTCTATGAAAAAACATATTAACCAAAAAATCTCAGTAGAAAATATTACCATTCCGATGACGAATTAAAATATATATATATATATTTATTAACTTAAACTTTCAAACACTAGGAGGAAAAAGAAACATGAGTTATAGATAAAGTCTGCTCAAAACTTGAAGATGATCGGGCAATGGCTAGCCTTCCAAACTGTGTATCTGAAGATCTTTGGTCCGCGTCTCATTGGCGAAAAATAAATTGTAATCCGCATTTCGGGACCGTGAGTACATTATAAGAATGACGGTCAGATTTCCCTATTCAATTGTTTTAACCCAAGAGTTGGCGATGGGTACTATTGACTGGGTGCCTTTTCTCTAGTCTATCGTTTCAAAATTATTGAAGGTTAACGCAAGTAGCTCTTGTGTTGTTATGTACGAATGTCCGAAACAAAACAAACCAAAACTCGATTATAAACAAATGTAGAAAACAGTAGGACTGAATAACTGAAAACGTAAAACACTAGAAAAGTGCTCAGTAGCCTAGAAACCTAGACAAAAGAAGGGCAAAAATAAATAGTGACTGTCTAAAATTTAAATCATTCCACAGAGAAAAGAACGACGGGTAAAAGCACGTCTTCGTGTTAGTCGCAAAGCTATAAAATGGGCTATCTCCACTGTATCCAGCACAGGGTTCGAACCTCGATTTTTAGCATTATAAGTCTGCTATTTTGCCACAGAGTTACCAGTAGGGGCATGGATGCATGGATAGAAAGAGAGCAAATACAGACAATGCTTATCTGAAGCTTGAAATAAAAGATACGAAAAAGCAAAGGTGGCTAATGACTAGTCGTACCATAAGAAAACCAGATAAAAAGGGAGAATAATAGAAACGAATGCAAAAAAGAGCAAAAGAACAGATAAAAGAGAACAAAGGTGGATAATGATTACTTGAAAAACTGAAAATACCAAGAAAAGGTGCAAGGACAAATAAAATGGATAAAAGGTTCTTAAAACTTTAACAGAAATGAAAAAGGTATATAAGAAAAAGATAAATAAAACTTCAAAAGAAAACCAGGAAGAAGGAAACACAATTGTATAAAGGCTGCTTAAAAATTCAAGTACAGGTAGACAAAGGCAAAGATAAATAGTGAATAAACAGATATTTCAAAACACAGGTGAAAAATTGAACAAGTATGATGGTTAATTGAACGTAAAATTACCAGGAAAACTCAAAGATGGGCAGTAATTAACGGTAACTTACGAAAATCAAAAATAAAACAGCTAAAAAAGTTTATAAGCAGCTTGATATGAAACAAAAAGTACAAAAAAAAGAAAAATATGCAATAGCTAACTAAAACTTGGAAGTACTAGAAACAAAAGAGCAAAAACAGAAAAAAAATGCTTAAAACTTGGAGAAAAAAAAGTACAAAAAGTAAAATGATGGATAGTGTTCTATAGGAAATTAAAAAAAAAAAGACTAGGATGAAGAAAGATGTGTTTGCTTCTAAAATTCGCGCATAACTACACAAAGGCTATTTATGCTATTTGTTCTTAACTTTGAACTGGGCCAAAAGAAATTCACCTAGCCATCAATGTCAACCTCCACCTCTTGGGCTACTCTAATCGAATAGTGGCAATTTTCTTTCAATCTTATAACAAACACACAAAGTTGAGTGAGATTTTGTGGCAACAGGACGCGAACCATAGACTCTGATATTCTTAGGCCAGCACATTATTTACCTAACCACTAGACCACTTCTAAAACTTTAAAAACCAGGAAAAAAAAGGCAAAAACAGATAAAAGCTGGTTCAAAGTTGAATAACAATAATCAAAATAGGATGGCATGAATAAAAAACTGATGTTGGCTGACTAAAACTAAAAAAATATAATAATCTCTAAGATGGAAGGAAGTTAAAGAGTTTACATTTTATAAATGTCAAGATCTAGACCAAGTATAAAATGTTTAAAAAACAAAACAAAAAAAAAAACGTTATCTGGTTTTGCATTAAATGTGGCTTTACTTCTAATATTTAAAGTTTAGAAGAAATGCAGTATTTGTTTTGTTATCCATATTTGAATTGATTTAGTTGTTTAAGGTAAATATTCTATAAGAAAAATAAGTAGAAAAAATATTCAAGATGCGTCGATAGAAATGTACTATTGTCTAGACATGCTATATTTAGTATACAGTGGTGTAGCTTTACAATAGAGTTATCTCACCGTAAGCAAACTCCGCTGGTGGCCGGGATCTTCTCGGCTTTATTATCATCAAGCATTTCTAATGTGACGGTAAAATGATCCCACCTTGTGTTCTATAGGCGAAGAACGAAATAAACGTTTATTCTTTATTAAAATTAAACATTTAAGTTTCAAGTGGAGTTGGGATTAGATACTTCTCAGACAAACCACAAAAATGTACATAAGTTATAAAATTATATATTAAAGTACTCTTAACAGCATAGGCACTTTTAAAGAAAAATGTAACTAGCACAAAAGTTAGCTTTATTGACTGAAAATCTCAGGAAGCGTATTAGCATGATAAATGTGTCCTATTCATATTTAAGGAAGTACAAAAAACAACAGCATTTCAGTTTCTCTTGATAAATCTGTTCTATCCAGTGCTTGAAGTGGGGAGAAAAGGGGTAGGATGGTTTGTGAAATTATTGAACTCGTAAAATAAAAGATAGTTTAATTGGGTTGTGTATAATTTTAGATTAGGACAACATGTATCAGCCTAAAATAGCCACTCTGTATTTTTATAGTTCTTTAACTAAATGTATAATAATCGTATAATCACACACTTCTTTTTTTTACTGTAGTGGAAGGAAAGAAGTGTATACAACGCGTAGGTGGTTGTTTTCCAATCACATCTTAAAAAGATTTAGTGGAAAACCAACCAAACTGATGAACATGAGACTTAATGGCGTGGCACTTTTCTTTCTTTGTCGTTTTGTGTCGCATCTTGTCGTCCATATTGGTGCGAAAGGAAGAAGGAGACGGTGAGATATTTGGCGCAACCCTAGGCAACTGTAAAAGCACTGGGGTGGTTTCAGGTCTAATAAAAAAGGCAACGGGATGATTTTGGACCTTTCTGAAAAGAGGTGGGATGCCATCTCGCCTCACTTTAAGCACTGGTTCTGTTCAATCTTAGGGAACAAAGTGTCATGTTACAACCTCTTTATAAAACTAGTAGCATTTACTGTAATTATTAGGAAAATTTTAAATAGTAGAAGTTGTAGCGAACTAAAGCTAGATATTAAAAATTTTACTAAGAAGAAAACAAGACGAGGTGTCGTCCGAGTCACAATATATATAGATAACGTATAACTGACGTGACCAATACAGTTTATGTAAGAAAGCAGCTGTCATAATTAGTAAATTTCAACCCTCCATAAGTTAGTTGCGCCCTCTGGTGACAATTTGTGGCATCATGGCCGCCTGTCATGGCGGCCTAGCAGTGCGTCCCTAACGAACTTGGAACTATGACCTCGTCATCTTTGATGAGATCCCCCCTCCCTGAGGCAGCCAATCAGCATGAGGGGGCATCCTTTGAATGCGATACTCCCTCCCTAACTACTAAAGCAGCTGTCATAATTAGTAACTGGACAGTTTAAAAATCTTCTTTATAAAATAGGTTTCTAGTTTGTTTGTTTTATAATTAAGCACAAAGCTACACAATGGGCTATCTGTGCTCTGCACACCACGGGTATCGAAACCCGGTTTTAAGCATTGTAAGTCCGCAGACATACCGCTGTGCCACTGGGGAGCTTCTAGTTGGAAAATGATGGTTTACTTTATTCGGTGATATCAACTCAATGTCAGAACTAGTTGGAAAATGATGGTTTACTTTATTCGGTGATATCAACTCAATGTCAGAACTATAAAGTTGGAGTTGATTTGAGGAAGTCCTTCCAGAAAATCGCTTCTGCAATTTCTTTCTCGGGATCTTTTTTCATTTTCATCTTACCTCTATTTTTCACATTTCTTATCGTTTTGTTTTTTTCTCATATTTATATATTCCATCATTTTCCTTTGCTCCCTTACATCTTATATTCCATCCCTTTACATTTATTTAGCCTTATCTTTTTTGAATTTAATATTTTTATCCTTTCTTCTTATCTCTTTGAAAAGAGAGAGAGAGAGTGGAGATTTCAGAAAATATATATTCAATATTCGAGTTTTAAACAAGCGAGTTTTATTATGTTATTCCAGTGAGAGAGAAATCTACTGGCGCGGATCTTACCGCAAAAATGTTCAATTGTACTGAACTTCATAGACGTCCACATATTTTCAAACTGTATTACAAAGAATTGTCTGGCTTCAGTTTGCGTTATGCGGTTATTGCATTAAAAAGCAAGCAACTCTATAAATATTCCTTTGTGTTCTTGAATGCGAAAACAAAAGCTGTTATTCCTATGATTGAAACGTAGATCTTAAGATTTAGAATGTGTTTTCAAACACTGCTAAATATTAAGTATTTGTTTCATTTCAAATATACGAAATAATTGAGTTGTCTGATGTTTTAACTTGAAAGTTTTCAAATTCAGATGAACCTAATGATACATACACACACATATATGTATTGCATTTCTTTGAATCTTTAATCTCGCTATAAAATGTATACATACTGAAAAAAAAAGTTATTCTTACATAATTACTGTGATTGATTAAGCTTATACACGAACTCTTTTGTTTATGTTCATTCAAATGTTTCCTCAAACTCTGTTCTTGGTAACTTACACTTGTGTGAAACAATGACCTGTAGAAACGTATTTACTGTTTTCTATTTCGTGTAATTTTTGAAACTAAGCTCCTCTTTATATTTTCTGAGTGTCTTCTTAGACTCAAAGAACCAGATCCGTCATTTTTAAGAGAATAAGGTGTGGCATTCGCCAAAACGACTTCCATAGTTTGGAGTTTTAGATGTTAGAGTGGTTTATAAAACATGATAAGAACCTGGAATAGGGAAGAAATACGGAAATTTGTTTTTATTTGTTTTGCTTCAGATATTTGCGCAAAACTATTCAAGGGTTATCTCCGGTAGCCATCCCTAATTTTGAACAGATAGACTAGACAGTAGGCAGCTAGTCAACAGCAACCACCGCCAACTCTTCGGTTACTCTTGTCTAACTGAATAGCGCCCACGACCCCAAAGTGTGGAGAGTAATTTTTATTACTATTACTTTTGTGGTCACGAGACGCGAGCAATGGATCCACAAATTAACAGCCCGGAACACTAACCAATGGAACCACCCGGCCCCAAAACGGAAACACACAAGTACCGATCCTTCTGATCATCGATTTAATAAGAAATGTGATTGTGTTCTTGTGTTGTTTTGTGAAGATATGTTGTGCTTCAGATCCTAAGACTTAAATTATAGCATCCCATTTCAAGATAATCCACGTGTAAAATATGTTTCAGTCGATTCAAGTAAATTAAACATGGAAATTAAATTTTTATAATAAAAAATTGTTTAAGAGGTTTATTACACCTATTAAGGCTAACAGTAATGATAATAATTAATGCCACTTCCTAATTAATCTCTGCTTCTTTGTGTCACGTAACATTTTGATTTGTTCTTTATAGGTAATTTTTTTTCTTGTGTCTTGTCTTTTTCACATAACAGACTATCTTATTGTTCATTTAAGTTAATCTTTCTCTTGCTGATTGGTAAGATACTATTATAGATTATGGTACAGCTATTATACTGTATATCATCACATTATTAAACCCTATTGTGAACAGTATAAAACCAGAGGATTTGTTGATCACACCTCACGATGACCGTTAAACAAAGTAACCACCGCGAGTTATCAGTACGCCTGCACATACACGCTACACACGTCTTCCAGATCAATTGATAACTGGTATCTAAATCTGTTTGCATTACAAAGCTTTAAGAATGTCTTCTAGTGTATCACCTACTATTGCATATTGTGTTAACTTAGCTAAGCAGCTGTCTTCTATATCTGTGTTACAGCATGTTATATAACATGCCCAGCATTGTCTATATGATAACTAATCAGACTGCTTCAATATTAAACCATTAGCAACAATTGTGAAGGTCAGTTAGCAAGAATATTTTTATTTCATATCGTACTTCATTATTGAAAGTATGTATTCACCAGATACTTCCATATGCATGGAAGAAACATCATTTAACGTTATAAACCAACTACGTAAATCGTCGAAGTTATTTTCTTTACTCTTCGTAAGATCTTCTCTTCTATAAAAGATATAGCTCCTTTAACCAAAAAGTATTATCTAGTCTAAGTTATTTTACTTTTAATGTCCACATATGATATATTCACTTATTCAATACAATCACATTTGCACACTACTATCACGTGCATCTCTTCGAAGTCTGTCTGTTGTTTACATTGTGGATTGCTTAGAACATAGGTAAGATTTTGTATTCATTATATTAGAGTTACAAAATCTGGAAGTCAGATGTAGCAACAGATGTATCCTCCTTTCATGAGTGGTAACACGTTTATTTCTTTGATCACGTAGTCATTCCAGGTAGGCTTAGCTGAGTAGTAAAAATTCAGGTGTTTACTACTTTCAGTTTCTACTAACAATAGACGATATATATATCAAACAACCTACTGATGAAGTTATGAAGACTTATATTTATTTGATTAAAACATCCGACATGGAACAGGTCACTTAAAGATTGGTACCTGTTACTTTCGTTCTTAGCCGTATTCTGGTAAAATTAGGAATATCGGTACTTCCAGACTTTATTAATAACAGTCGAAAAGTAATAAGTCACCTAGTGGTGAAATAATGGAGATTTGTTCTTATCGTTCCTATTATTCATTAACAACAGACGAAATGGGCAAGGCCAGTGGTTCCTAAACTTTTTTTTGCGAGCTACCTGAATATATTTGTTTTGGGGAGAAAAAGGGAACTCGACGTATCATATAATAACAGTATGATTTAACGAAACAAAATAAGCGCATAAAATATTATCCTCAGACTGACCCTTTTTACATTTTAGTGCGATGATTGCACATGTTTTGGTGAGCAAGGTTATTCGGCTTTAGCGTCGTATCGGGTTCTGTATTCCTTCAGCTTCTGTATTTAGACTACAGGGCGTTGTTGAGAAACCAGCAGACGGATCATTATTTTACAATGCACAAGAACTCCCAAGCAGCGAATACATTTTCCCAGTTTACTCAAAAGCCATATAACAGATTTTTAGAGTTTCCATCAAATCTATACATATTCTTCCTGCTTATATACCTGAATGTGTAAGGTCTCATGTGTCTGCTTTGCTTCAGGGTCTGAAAACTCTTTCCTTTCGTAAGTATGACCACGGTTTCGGAACCTATGGACTAGGCCACTTTGTTTTGAAGATATCGAGATTTATGCTTAGTACTTGCTACTTCCAGGCTTTGGTTGTTATGGTTAGAATAGACTGCCACACTTAGAATATTGATAAGTCTCACATGGTAATAGAAATCATGCTAGACAGTATTTTTTTAAACAAATTATTGTTAATTAGTATATTAAAAATTTTAAACTAGAGACGTGTACAAATAGCACTCTTAGCCTGTCTGCCAGAAGTCACTGCGAAAGAAGCTTTTTGTTAAGTATAGAATTCGTCAAGTAGTCTGAATCGTGATATCAGCCATACATCTATCGGAAGCACTATTTATATGCAGTGCGAAAAACTAACGTTAAACTAAGCTCGAAGTTGATGAAACAATAGGATCAATGAATCTAATGTTTGGGATCAAAAATCCCGCTCAATCCCACATTCTTCTTAATCAGTGCATTATGAATTTCCAATCACGGTAACATAACATTTTCCATATTGCATATAGACATTTCTAATGGACTTTTGGCTATTATGGTTAGCCAAAATGACTCGTTTTGATATTGAATTAAAGGCCTCCTGTGCAGTGACTTTTGGTAGTCAAAAGATAGATCTGAAACCTATTTTTTCATATCATTATTTAAAATCCGTAATGGACTAATTAAGAGGAAAGTGGAAAGAATCATTTCCAATACTGTATGATTTTTCAATGAGATTAACGTTTACTACTTTAATTTAACTAAAAACAGTCGAAATGGGCAAGGCCTCCTAGTGGTGAAGCTATGAACTTACCATTTCTGGTTTGATGTTCACATTCGATTCAGTGATGGTAGTTTCAGGACTGTCCAAGCAGTCAATTTGGGTTAAGCTTTTACTTCTCTGAGTCTAGTGGACAAGGAAAAAAAAAACTTATGTTTATTTAAACTAAATTGAAAATTGAAAATAAAACTTTCTGTAACACAAGAACATTGATTTTAAACTGTCTGAAATCTGACTATTTTGACAATTTATTGAGATAACCTTAAATGTCACATTTATAAAATGCTCAATCTATGTGGATGAAGTTATCTTGTCATCAAAGAGATTAAATCATGTTATCCGATGGTGGGTCAGCGCTAAGTTTACGAACTTACAACGTTAAAATTCGGAATTCGATTCCACGCTGTGCACAGTGTGCAGACAGACCATTGTGTAACTTTGCGTTAAAAAAACAAAACAACAGAACAATATTTTCGTTTGAGTTTACTTGGTGATGACAAGTATTTTTACAAGTCACAATTAATCCTTACTATAAAAGCTGTAAATTGTAAAAACAACAACAATTAAGTAATACTTATGACATTAACTAAATAATACTGTTATTGCACTTATTCTAGAATTTTTTTCAGCATTGAACATTGATAAATGTAAAATATTTTCAAAATCAGCTTGTTTCGAAAAGCCCTTGGTTACAGAAAATAGTTGTAACTTGTAAGATATTGAACATACACGTACACAAGACAATTTATTATTAACTGCAAAATATTAATTATATTTACAAAGTTATAGAAATTAAAATTATAAACTACAAATACAATGTAATCGACATATTTTGAAACATCTTAAATCACTGCACTGAGTAAGTGAAGTCCACTGAGAGTTGCAAGCAAAACCCTATGACAGCCTAACTGGTGATTAATAGATGTGTATCCAAGACCTTTCTTTAAAAGGCTACATGATATACACCTCCATCTTACTTCATGCTTATTTTATACCTTAAAACAGAAAACAAATCAGCATTACTCGTCTAAAAGAATATTGGCATGCTGCACAATATATTTTAAATCGTAGATCTACCATCAGCTGTTGCAACGTTCATCTTACAGTAAAATATCCGACGAAGAAAGGGAAAGAAATACCACTCATTTTAGCAGCCTGAATTGTAGAACAAAACTTATGTATGATAAAAGCATCTGTCGTCATGTCCAAACCACCTAAAAAATACTCGTCATTTATTTCTGTATAGCAAAGCGTCATTTTTGGTTCTGTCCATTTTTCTTAAACTGTCCATATTCTAAGTAAATTTTACATCAAGATAATCTATGAAGGTAATTGACACGGCAAGTATGACTGTATTGTGTCCAATAGAAAACACGTTCAACAAACAAAACTAACAATGATGTGAAACAAAAACTGTTTTGTTTGCACTTTAAAACTTACAGGATAGGTGTAATGAACTCAACGTGTGTAAATTTCTACCACTTTTTATAGCAGAGAAAAATCCCGTAAATCTACGCTTTTAACAAGGCTTCCTGTCAGTATTAGATTATTGAAATTCCCGTCGTTTGAATGACCCAGATTGAACACGATTATTTATCACCTCTTAATATCTGTAACTTACAAGTTAACGACATAGGCCTTGAAAATATATACTGTAAACAGGCAATTTAATCATTTTTGACAGCAAAAAATAATTTTTCATTCGTTCAGACAGCAAAAAAATACAATTTAAACCCGGCAGGCAGTAGATAAAACTAACCAAAAATGTTCTTTAATACATATCTTTTACGATACATGCTGCAATTACTCATCATAGTAGAGATTTGATTGGTAATTGTTGGCAAAAGTGTGGTCTAGTAGTTAGCGTATCGAACTGAGAATCCAGGGGTCTTTAGTTGAACAGATGGTGCTATCAAATACGCTTCGGGTGCGCTATAAGAGTGGCAGTCAATCTCGTTAGTCAGCTAAGAGTAGCAGCATTAGACTGAATTCCTCAGTGGTAAGTCTGAAGGTTTATAACGTTCGATACCAGTGGTGGGCACAGCACATCTAGCCTATTGTGTAGTTTTTGGCTTAACGGCAAAATAAAGAAAGCAATAGGCTAGGAGTGCTGCCGAATTGTTGTTTCCCCCTTTAGTCCAGAACTCAAAATTAGGGAATGCTATATCTAAGCCATAGCAGTCTCAGATTTGACCGTTATAAGCATAAGATATCGTTAAAGTGAACAAACAAATCACATTTTTAACATGCACTTTATCGTTTTTTTTGTAAGAATGTATACAAAAATCGTTTTTACTGTTTCACTGTCTGCATCTTCTGCAAGTCACTACTTTATGCTTTCCAACTGTTAAAAGGCCAATGATATAACAGTAAATATTATAATATCATTGATATAACAGTAGATATTACAATATAATATCATTGATATAATATTTGTCTGTTGCTTTGAAGTTAAGTACAAAGCTATACAAATGGCTATCTGTGCTCTGTCCACAACCGGTATCGAAACCCGGTTTCTAGTGCTGTAAGTCCGCAGATATACCGCTGTACCCCTGAGGCATAATATGGTATAAACTTATAATGTAGAAACAATTCAAAAATATAACCACTTAAAACATGTGTGTGTGTGTGTGTTTGTGTGTTTTATATAGCAAAACCACATCAGGCTATCTACTGTGTCCACCGAGGAGAATCGAACCCCTGATTTTAGCATTGTAAATCCGTAGACTTACCGCTGTCTCACCAGGGGACCTTAAAACATTAATACAATTAATGGAAATTCCAAAAAATTTAAAGCAATACCGCAATAATGTGAGAAATAACGCTACATCGGGAACCACGTGCAACCGAGAGCAATATAGGTGAGGGAGCGTTATAACCGAATGTAGGAAAAAAAGTCACAATTTGAAAATTTATGTTTATACTTTTTTAAGTTCATAGAAGTTAAATTTTTGGATCATTCCACTCATTCATGTGATGACTGACCTCATATATGCCTGAAAAGTCCATTGACTCTGCATTATGTATAAATGCACTTGTTAAGTTAACAGACTGTTTGTAGAGTGCTGTTTGGTCAAAAAGCATGACACTATGAAGCTTAGTGAAGAAATGTGTTAATAAATTCAATATATAATGTGCGAAATGTAAGAGGAGCCATCCAGGATCGTAATCTAGACTAATTTCATGTGAGGTCAGGTTAGGCACCACGTTCCTCGGGTAATGTGTAAAGCTGTGTCCTTCTGGTAGTGGTAAGTCAGGCGAATAGCCTTGTTTCTCATTTACTTATACAGTATATATACTATATCATTGTACAACAGTTATATAAGTTGTATTATTAATGTGTGTATGTCATGTACTTTCATATAATGTTACATATCATGCATCATTACAATAAATACTTAACTTTGAAATGTTTTTGTTGTACTACTTTACATCGTATTTGGGTCAAACAGCTTACTTCTCTTTGGTTAACTTGTGTTCAGGGTTGCTGATAAGGAGTGAAATTTTCCGAAACTAGTATAACCCAATAACACACGTTGATCAAAGTGTGGATTGAACTGGACCTCCTTTGAACTTAGACTTCGAAATTAAACAATTTTCTGAATACTAAGTCTATTTATAGTTTATTGCATTTGAGTATTTAAAAAATTGTGACCTTTTTTTTTCTCTA